AAAAAAAAAAAAAAAATATATATATAATTTTATCAGCTGTAAAACGTTATTATGAAATGGAAAAATATATATACCAAACAAATCTCAGAGAGAATAAATTGAAAAAGAAATGGTTTCACTTTAGGAAATATTTTGAGAGTGTTGGAAATGTGCTAACATAAACATGATCATGTATTTTATGTTTGGTTTTTTGTCGTTGGTATATTTAAAGTACTAATTTTGTCATAAATGTTTGTTTTTATCTGCCACAAAAGTTTTCGGCCGTGATGATTATTATCTGTGTCAAGCCATTATGTATGGAAATTATTTATTTAATTATTTGTATATGATATATGGATGTTCTGTATATGATGAAATTTGTTTTGAAAATAAAGAACCCTGTGGAAGGGGAAAAAATATTTTAAAAAAACAACAAAGCTTTAGTTTTACTGAATTTGTATAGAACCTTCATTTCCAAAAAACCTTTAGAAGGGAATTTGTTTAGTTGAAAGAATTTATTCCTGATAAGCAGATGTTTCATAAAATTTCACGTTTGCATAGACTGTGATCTTATATTTTAAACAATCATATTGTCGGTCCGATTTATTTTGAAGTTTCGCCATTCTGTTTCTCTATTTTTAATGATAACATACACATTAAATTAACTTATTACAAAGATCGGATTGCCAAGTAAGTGAAAATACACGTACAAATGGGAATACATGCGCCCTGCAGCCCCCAAATGTCGTAGGAAAATTATTGAGAGAAGGGGAACTCAGTCTCTAAAATCTTCTGTTTGTATTTCTCGTTATTTTTTAGTTATTCAAACAGTGTCGCATGGTGAACAATTTCGTCATGTTTGCGTTGGTGTTCACGTTGCTCGTGATTCTACTTCAGGGAACAGGTAGGAACCGAATGTTTAATGTTTATATATGTAGATTTAACAAAACGAGGAATAAATAATCAGGTCTATTTCAACTGCGTTTGATTTCAAGCAAATTGTTTTTGTCTTGATGAAGTAGAAATGTAATGAAATGTAACAAAGTGAAACATAAAAGAAAACAACAAAATACATTTGCCGTAAAAAAAAAAAAATCAATCCTAGTAAAAAATATAATTACCGACTTTCCTGATTCATTTCAATGAAAACTTAATTGCTTAAACATGTCTAAGCCAATTCATATCGATTTATTTTAAGAGAGCAGTTCTTCCTTTATTACCTTCTGTTTCTTGTCCTTCTTTCTTTTCCTTTTCAAATGTTTTATTCCGAATTATATGGCTGGTGTCTTCTTACACAAACTAAGTATAAAAGTACATATTATTTCATGCAGAGAAACATTTTACAGTTCTCCTATTCTATTGAAACCTTACAGCTTTTGCCGCTGAGCAACCCAGTTCTATCAATATTATGTGCCCATCTAAGACGTTGGAAACTGGGGAGGTTATACAATTAGTCTTAAAGAAGGCCGTTACTTCAGGCATACCAAGTGTATTTAATGTACCCTCGGAGTTATCAACATGGTACCACTGTTCGATACCAGGTGAGCCGTAGATTTGGTACAACATCACTCCAACAGCACTTCCTTACTTCATCATATCAAGTTTATATGATTTTCCATAAGAGTTATCAAAAAGGTGGTTCTGTTCAATACCGGGTAAGAATTGTGATGGCAATTATAACCTCATCCATTCCAGGTATAATTGGTGTAATCTTTTGATTTGTCAAAAGTTTACTCAATATGTGCAATATCGGGTAAGATACAAATGAAAGTACAAGAAACTGCATCCCAGGATTTAAGCATTACCTAGGTCCATTTGAATTCTGGTAACGAATCTAAAAAATATTTGTTTATCATACACGGGGAAATGAGTCGTAGATATTTCGGATATTTTTTATAAATTTAACTAGAAAGACGCAATAACACAGACAATCTTTATCTCTGACTATTTTTTACCGTTATTCTGACACTGCATTTACTCTAGCTGCATGGTTACGCAAGATAGTCAAGGACAATACCCCGTCAGTCTCCACATCTTTCTCAGATAGCCTAACCAAAACGAACGCAAGTTGAACGGAAAGCTAAATGCATAACTATCTACAAATTATAATGGTATTTCATAAAGGAAAAGCCATTATCACGGCGCTCGTAAACAACGCTTCTAACTTCATTTGCCGGCCTTCATATTGAATCTATTATTTAGGTATGCCAACTTTACAATTTCCACTTCACAAATATCGCAAACAATAGACCGGCTTAAACTAAAATTGTAGGTATAATTCCTAAACAAAAATGATTCTGGGTCACTCTATAAAGCTTGTCAGTGGATTTCATTGATGCTGTTATGCACAGCGGTCAATCAAATAGAAAAAATGGAAACTAGCAGCTCTTGGGAAAACATAAACTGGAACCCTGTTTCCCGCTCTCTGCAAAAGCTGACTAGTGTATTGATAACCCTGATAGACTATTTGTGAATGCGTTAAGTTGTTATCTTTTTTTGTGATATGCCTCCCATAGTGCACTCATTTCGAACAATCTGACTGATTTTTCCTGTTGCCACGTTCTGTTCAATAATCGTATAGTCTTTCAATTATTATTATAATCATTGAAATTGTATTCATTTAGTCGTTTTCATCTTTTTCGTTACTTTTTTTTTATTAGGGAGGGGGAGGGGCAACGATAATTGAGGAGAAACCTAAATCAGAAATTTGTACTTCTTTGGGATGATCCCCAGTCATTGGTTATTGATTACGTTTCTTACATTACCATCATTATTATCATAATTATCATAATTATCATAATTATTTGTATTATTATCTTTTTTATTGTTTTTATTACTATCATTATCATCTCCCTTATTTTATTATGATTTCTTTTTTAATTACATTTCTATCATCTTTATCATTACTATTATCGTTGATATATGTCTTTATTTTCACTCATTTTTCTATCATAATGACTGTTTTTTTAAAAGTATTGTCTATGATAATGTCGTTTTACTTTATGTGAATGGAAATCAAATAAATCAAATAAATAGATGAAATGGGAATTAAAAGCACAGGGTCTAGTGGGTACCATCGTCTCTATTTTGATAACCAGCCCTTTAATATGTTATACAGTGCGTCCCAGAAAAAAACGAAACCAAGAATTATCGATGTTTTATCATAACCTAATCAAAATTATAATTAATAAATGACACATATTTGTAATGCTTAGACCCTCCTCTTTCATTTGATACAACTCATATGATAAATATTTCACGCATGAGTGATTAAACAAAATTTACGAGAGGAAACCAAAATGTCATTTGACGGGCGGTATCTGAATTTCAATGAGAAAATCACATTTCTAGAAAGTTCAGTTTTTGCAACTTCATATGACACCTCAATCAGGAAAAATGAGCAAGGAATAACAAAGTTCTGTTTGTTTAAATTGATGCTTGCATTTCCATAATTTGATTTTAAAAGTTCGTTTTCACTGGCTGCCTGCCGTAGCAACGAGCAGAATTGATAAAAGACTTAACTCCGTTTCGTAGACAATCAGCCATGCATGAAGTCTTTCGTCTATGTCTGATCATGATAATATTGTTTGAAGGATATCGGAAATGTTAGAAATTAATATATGCAAACCTGATCACAAAATATAAGTTTCAAATTTATTTTCCACGTTGTATTATCCTCAGGACATGTAAGAAGTACAATACACAGTCATTTAGAAAATATACATTCTGATATAGAAGGTAGGAATATAATAGACTACCCCAGGAGCTTACGTCTGGACATTTTGAGTGATAAAATGCTGAGATATTATGACGGCGCTAATTTTTACCCCGACATTTTTGTTGTACCTCTGACATTAATTTTTACTTCTGACATTTTTACCTCTGACATATTACCTCTGGCATTTTGACCTCTGCCAATTTGACCTCTGTCATTTTATCCTCTGTCATTTTATCCTCTGACATTTTTACCTCTGACATATTACCTCTAACATTTTAACCTCTGTCATTTTATCCTCTGACATTGTTACCCCAGGCATTATTACCTCTGACATATTTTCCTCTGACATGTTCGTCTCTTATATTTTTACCTGGCACCGGCAATTCATACATGATTTCAATGATTACATTTTTAACCAGAGGGAAAACAATGGATAACACTTTGGTTATAAACATATATTAACGATCTGCTCTTAATGTTGTATACACCGCTAACAAATAATTTGTGACAGGATACGTATCATCCCTTCAACGTTCCACAGAAAGGTACATTTAAAAAAGCGAGTAAAACATTAAATGCGCACTAATATTATAAACCTGCTTCTGCTATTTACGAATCAATTAAGTATTCACCAATCAGTCAATATATCCTTGTCTAAGTCGATTTAAAAGGGGGAGTGATTGCTCATCGGTAAAATCAAACAGCATATAAACTCACCCGCAAGATTATTATCAAATCATTATCGATACTACTATAAGAACATGTATTGAATGAGCTAAAAATTGAGTTGGTGATACCATACGAGTTAGGTACTCACAAGGCCTTTTTATTAACCGGCATGGCTTAAGTAATTTTAGATGGATTAACTTAGTCTCTTTCTGTGAAACGCGTAAATAAATAAACACAACTGTGGACCGGTACGGTATTTTTTGTTAAACGGTCGTTCATTTTGAATATAAAAAAACACAGAGATGTGAGTTAACGCTTTATAGCAGGCGACGAAGGGGGTTGGGGTATCTATGGCAGAGTTAGATGGTTTTCATTTTGAGGAATGAATCTCCTTCCAGAGGATAGTCCGGTATTTAATAATTGAGAAACTAGAAATACAACTCATTATGTGAAGAAGAAACAAAATACAATGTTGGCCCTCCTGATGGCAAGGTCTGGAGGTGCGCAGCTTTAATAGGAAACAAGGATGGAATACACTTTGAGAGAATAAGTTCTGGTGAATGTCACAATTATGCATTGATATATATATTATTATCCTTTGAATTAATTTCAAAATACACGCAGATTTTATGGCATTGCCTTTTTTTTCCAGAAAATCTCATTAAAAAAATCATTGCTTTTTGCAGTTTTCATTTAATTTAATTTGTATGGGGGGACGGGTAAAGGTTATACATTAAAGATTATAATGAATGACGTAATGTAGCATTCAGATTCCTCAGCTCTCCCAGATATTTAATTTAAACAAATATCAGTTTCATTGTTACATTACATGAGGGTGTCTCGAAAGAACATTGTACTTCTTTGGATGATGTGTCTCTTGTCTTTTTATTCTTTTGCACTGTACTACTTTTCTGATATGTCACACCTCAATTGAACGTGTATGTTTTTGTACGTAATTTTGTATTAATTTAATTTCAAGCCTAGAAATATAGAATACAAGTACATAAGTGCTTGTATTCTTTAATGTTATTTTTTGTATACAATGTTTTAAATTTTAAAATATTAAGTGTCCGTTTTAAAGTATCAAGTTATGGCGTCCAGTTAATAACTTGTTACATGCATATTGTGTGGTGTAATTTCAGCGTGTTTATCGAACACCTGTCAACATGGAGGAACCTGCGAGGAAACAGACGAGGGGTTTAACTGCACTTGCCTGGATGGCTACTATGGAGACAGATGCGAGTACGGTAAGAGGAGGAGATTAATTACATGAGAAAGGGAGAGATACAAAAAAACGGTGATATAGACAGAGAGAGAGAGAGAGAGACAGAGTGAGCGACATACAGGTATAGGCAACCAGAAACAGAGACAGAAAAAGAGCAAGAAAGACAGAGAGAGAGCGATTGAGAGACAAAGGGAGAGACAGAGAGCCAGACAGAGAGACAGAGAGAGAGAGAAGGAAAGAGAGAGAGAGAGAGAGGGAGGGGGGGGGGGGGGGGGCTAAATCCACAACAACAACCTCTGGATTAAAAAAAATAAGTTAAAGAGATATATTTTTTTATTTTTTTATTTTTTTTTTTTTTTTTTGGGGGGGGGGTACTGTAGTACGTGGTGGTATACTTTAATATTGGTGAAGGCTCGTTTTAAAAACTCTCATATGAATGGTCTGGGGATCGATCCTTGGTCGGGGCTGACATTTTCGGAACAGGATAATTACATTTTGTATTTTTGCTCAATTCATTGCATGAAGACTCCTTCGTCCAGTCCGTGAGACTAGTCGGTGGAAGTAAAAGTGAAGGAAGAGTAGTTATCACATCTCGTTCTCGTCCTACAACCTACATGTTAATCCATCAATTAAACTGGTCCAGGAACGCTTCACGGTTGGTCTGCAAGTATCTAGGATATGAAGGTAAATGCTTTATCAAGTTTACAGTCCTGTATTCTGTTCACTTTAAAGGGATAGTTGAGTTCTGTTTTCAGACCGCAAATGCCTTCAAAGTGCATGGTTATTGCTCTTATTCTTATCTATTTTTTATTTATTTATTTATTTATTTCCTCTCATAGGGTGGATGGCCCTTTCAGCACAGCTGATTTTCAAAGGGGTCCACAAACATAAAAATAACAATAAAATATACAGTGAATTATACAATAATATGTAAAACGTTGCAAATGCAAGAAGTAAGGCAATGAATATGTACATGTAAAGTCAAACAAATAAATATCTAACAGATTAATGTACAAAACAAACAAGCAATAAGACAGTTAATTGCAGATATTCAACTAGAACGACAACAAGCGTACGAGTAAAACTGTAAAACCGATAACATAACACAAAAAAACATCAAGGTAAACATAAGAAAAAAAACACAAGACAGGAATAAGAGGATGGGTATAATATTTATCATGTTTAAAAAACTATTACAAAAAAACTATAAAAAAACTATTAAAAAAAAATTAAAAAAATTCTAGTTTCTAAAAAGTTTCTAGTACCCTTCTATCACCTAAAATTGCTATGAAGGTAATTTTAGACCCCAACATGTTTGAAATTTAGCCAATACGATCATACAATTTCAGTTCCACTTTCCAAAAAATACAGTGACCGTTAAGTAATTAATTAATAAAGAATACATGGGCCGCCTTGTTGTGCGTAATGTAACCAACACGAAAAAGCCAACAAAAAGCCAACATTGGCATTGGCTGAAATACAACGTAAAAGGCGCTATTTCGTTTTTTCAACGGCTTTTTCAAATTATCGAAAATTTGTGGTGGTACACAAATATTAGACATCGTTATATTTATGGATATTTCAGCCGTTTCTGAACTAAATTTGATCGAACAAAGATGATTTTGTCATTTAAATTGTATGTTCTTTCAAATTTGACACTCAGTTTTCATTATCTCGCAAACAATTATGTAGCGCCCTCTGTAACATAACTCAACTATCCCTTTAATGTGTTCGTCAGGTACATCCTAGTCACACCAAGGATACCGACCTAAAGTGCAGTGTTTCCGTCATGGCCATGGCATCGTTTCACAAAACCGTCATAAATGCATTATCGCCGACAACCTATGAAACGCGTGGATTAAATTTACCACGCTTTTTTTTGGGGGGGGGGGCGATGTCGGTGGGCTTGTACTTAAGACTGAATTCTTTTTACATTACACTCGAAAGGCCATTATTCGGTAGGTTCGAACTTGATGTGGAGTCAATTTGGCGGCGTGACTGACGTATCTACTGTCAGATATTAAAGTTCATCATCAATATTCATCCATGCAGTCCATTGTACCAGAGGACATTAACTTCTTCTACAGCTATTTGCAAAAGGGAAATGAGTAAGCAAGATCGTCCGGACAACAAAACTCACGAATACACAAGATAAATAGAAAAGGTTAAGTTATTGTAAAGGTAAACTAAATTGGTGATATCTCTGATTCGTTTCATGGTGGTTTGGATTGAATTTCATGGAAGAAATGTCCTCTGAAAAGGAATTGCCCTTTCACATACTATCAAATTCAAGTATAGATAGAAATGGCTGAAATATTGAGATCAAATTTCATGCCAAATGTCCGTGTAATTCCATATTATATACATTTCATGTAACTATATCAAGACCGAGTCAATTTCATATCATTCCCTTTCCTCACAGTCTGCTTCAAATCATGTGTGTTATCATTTTTCAACCATCCCCGAATACTCCCAAGCAGTTTCTTTCACAATTTAATACAATAATAAGAACTCCACCTTATCTTTCATGTAATTTATTAGACGAATGCAGTAGAAAAAAGTAATTTGTAAGCTCTGTGATTTTGTTTCAAATGGCGATAGGATAATTTTCCGATTAAAAAGGGATTAATCCTTCACATACCCTAATATTATCAATACACTCAAACTTGTCTATAGCAACTACCCAATGGAAACACGAAAAGTGGTCTTTGTAGACAGGTTCCTTTTTAGTACATGTTTCAATGAGAAACCATTTTCAAGGGAAACAAAAAGACCGGTGGTCACTAAAGCAGGTTTGACTGTACGATTAGAAATGGCTATAAACTGTGGACCTACTTTCATGTTACATATCTGTACAATTTCATAAACCTCTGCCATCATGACTGAGTAAATTCTCTACCTCCTCGATGATTTCATTACCTCAATGGGTGTACATCCATTCCTGGGTACTACATAATTCTTATTGCTACCAGACAATTTGTTTAAACAATGTAATCTCACGACCAGAACTCATCGATATCTTTGAGGAATTAAGACAATTATACATAATTTAGAAAAATCATAATTAGACTTAGAAGTGCAAATATATTTTGTTCCAAATGCTCTTTCATATTTTGTGTTCTTTCTGATTATATCCCAAAAGATGTATATGCGACAGTGGGAGGAGATCTCTTCGAGATTATGTCCTTAGATAATAATTCTGAAACTGTGACTGTGAGGTGCCCTGTCGATGTGACTAGCATTGCTGACTGCTGGTACGAAGAGAGGGCGGCGATGAATCCTAGGGAGGAGAGTATAGCTGTTGTTTGCTGTATTGGTAAGTGTTTCAGAATAATGGGAATGTGTTGACTAGGAGACTTGAAACAAATGGAGTCACAACATACAGATCGTTACTTACTTACTTACTTACTGCCCATAATGCCTCCTGGCACATAGGGCAGCAACAGAAGTCTTCCACTCCTTCCGATCCTGGGCCAGTCTTTGGATTGTATCCCATGTGTGGTTCAGGTCTTTAATCTCCCCTTCCACAGTTCTTCGCCAAGTGGTTTTAGGACGTCCCTTCTTTCTTTTGCCTTCTGGTGTCCAGTGGAGGGCTGTTCGTGTGATGTCATCTCTGTTCTTTCTCATTACATGCCCGATCCATCTCCACCTTCTTCTCGTGATGAAGTTCTCCATGCTGTCTTGATGGCATTGGGCATACAGTGCTTTATTTGAAATGGTGTTTGGCCAGAAAACGCGGCATATTCTTCTAAGAGTCTTTGTGTGGAAGACTGATAGCTTACTAAGGTCGTTTTTGTCATTCTCCAAAATTCAGAGCCGTACAGGAGAGTGGAAAGGACACAGCTCTGGTACAATTTTAGCTTGGTCTTGGTGCTGTACTGCTGTGATCGCCATATATTATTGAGCATTCTGAGTGCATTTCTTGCTTTATTGAGACGGTTCCTAATGTCTTTGCCTGCGCCTCCATCGTGCCTGACAGTGCTTCCCAGGTAAGTAAACTCCTCAGTTATAGGTAGGTCTTCCCCGTTTACTTGAATTGGTAAAGGATCCGAGATGTTAAGGGTCATCACCTCTGTTTTCTTTTGGCTGATCTTCAAGCCAGTTTGCTGGGCAAAATCACTGAGTCTGGATGTTTTTTCCTGCATATGCTGGTGGGTGTGTATAAGTAGAGCGAGATCATCTGCAAAGTCGAGGTCATCAAGTGTAGAAAAGAGGGTCCATCTTATGCCTCTTTTTGGTCTTCAGTTGCCTGTCTTATCATTCAGTGCCGACATGACACACCCTTGCCTAACTCCAGACTTTACTTGGAACTTATGGTTACTGTTTCCAACTCTGCATGTAAAATTGGTGTAAAAGCTCTCAATGACAAGAACTAACTGCTCTGATATCCCATATTTGCCTAGTATTTTCCACAGGCTGTCTAGGTGGATGCTATCGAATGCTTTTTCAAAGTCAACAAAATTAATATAAAGTTTCCTCTGCCATTCTGTGCATTGCTCTATGATGTTACGAAGTGCAAATATCTGATCAGTGCACCTTTTTCCCTTCCGAAAACCTGCCTGTTCCCTTCTGAGATTTTGGTCAACAGCATCTATGATACGTGTAATAATTATCTTTGCCAATATTTTGCTTGGTATTGACAATAGAGTGATGCCACGGCAGTTATTGCAGTTTTTTGGGGATCCCTTCTTTGGTAATTTTACAATAACTCCCTCTGACCAATTGCCAGGAACTGCCTTCCTTTCCGATCGATTTCCGATCGTTAGTCTCAGCTAATACGACAGGAATCGGTAAACCAAAGTTCGTTTTATAGCATAACTATGTAATATATACCAACGATTATCTATTTTACATACCAAAAAGAAATTTGATTGTTTTCATTTCATACAGACATCCTTTACCATAACAAAATGAAATTAAAAAAATCTAATTAACGAAAATGTGTTGAAATAGCCCTTTAATATAAAATTAATTTTGGGGGATCCGTCAAAGCTATTTCTCAAGGAATTCTTTATGTTAAAGCCATGGAAATTCAGAAAGACTTAGGCATAATTTACAACTGCACACTAGTTTTCTGTGCTCGTTAATTTGAGGAATTAGCTAGCTACGCATTAAAAACCTCTCTTAAGCTCTCTAATCTATAATGTTAAAATCATTTTTTTATTAAAACTCTTCTGTGTAGTTTTGAAGCGTCAGCCATCAGACATCAGAGAACAAGACACTCTGTTTGTTTTATTGTACATATCCTTAATAAATTGCCACGTGTTTGCATTAATTATCATTAGTTGAGACTCTCCACCTAAAACCTCTTCGGTATTCGGCACATACTGTTCGAATTAGGTTCGTAATATGATTTACAGGGATTCTGAGACACTAACTTGCTTGGGCGACAATTGTTCAAGGCTTCAATTTGTCAGAGATATAGTACCTTCAAAAGCATGACACTGTGTTATTTAAAAAAAAAAAAAGTTTAAGGTTTAGTAGAATATGGGCAATGTTGTAATTGGGTTTTAGGTGAGGATGAGGTTCGATTTCGGGGTTAGGTAAAGCGTTCTGATTACTGGGACAGGCATTTGGTAATAAACATTAAAAGAGTCCCATGTCTTCTAACCCACAAGTGCCAGAACTTCGAAGTGCGCATGGCTATGAATGCTGATTTAGCCCAACTAATAAGGTGATAGTTTCGTGGTCCATTTAAAAACAGTCTCTGTGTTTTAAAGACATGTGATTTTTTTTCAACAGTGAACCTGTGCAGTACACCTCGAGGTAGTCCAGTTGGTCTAGAAAGCGGTAAGGTTCCAAACAGCGCTATTACAATCTCGAGTAGGAGAAATAAAAATTTGGGTAAACTGAAAGTCCGTCTTAACAGTAATTCTGCGTGGGTATCCGCTACGGATGACGAAGACCCCTGGCTTCAGATCAAATTCGATTCCACCTTTGTCATTACCGCCATCATGACGCAAGGCAGAGCAAATGCTGAACAACAGCGGGTGACATCGTACACAATTTCATCGAGTATGGACGGAGCATCTTGGACCTACAACCAGGATATCAACACCAACACCGTCAAGGTATTTACACTTGGTTTGCTTACTTGACCTCTCTGCACGGTTGCTCATTTGTCTAATGTGCCAATTAATGGAATTTTAGTGGTTTTGCAAAATTACCCTTGTCCGATCATGATTAGCTCCAATAACAACATTCCAGATATTGCCCAGGAAACAATTAAATAATCATGAAGCCTTCGGTATGTCTATCCAATGATAAATGCAATGTGACACTACAGGAAGATTATTTGTGTGGCGTATAAAAAGTTTAAATCTCAATGAAATAAATGATAATCAATGGCGTAGTGTGAGCCCGGATATTGAGGGGCGCTGGCATAATTTTTTTTTGGGGGGGGGCGGGGGGGGGGGAGGGCACCGGTCTCATTGGGGGAGATGATATACAAGGCCACTGATTAGCGTGTGGTACTATTGTCTTCGTTCTTCATCCTTTTCCTATTTTTCTCTTTGCTATTCCTCTTTTTATAGTTTGCCTCTTTTCCTATTTTCTTCGTAATTCGAAGGGGGGGGGGGTAATTCGAAGTATGCCCTAGAATCCACTTCGTTATTGGATGTTTATTGTTCCACCCTCATATCTACTTATTATTTTAGAGGGAGAGAGAGAGACGGAGAGATGCGAAAGATATTACTCAGAAACACAGACAATTACACAGAAAATAGGCTATGTAAGGTCCATTAAAATCTTACTGACAAAAAAGACAGCATGTTTTTTAAAATCTTGTCGGAAACATTAAATGTGACCTAATCACAAATTGCTGTGTTAACGTTTATGTATAAAAAAAACCCCAACTGCCTAAATAGTATGGCGAAAAAGATCCAGATATTGGTAGTTGAAAGACAATCAATATGTAAAGAAAAAGGTGGCAATAAATGTGCAAATGGAGATATGTCTCTATTATTCTGTTATTTTTCCCGTTTTCTTCTGTTCTTTGTTATTGTTATACTCCTTTATGTTCCTGGAAATGAAATGAAACATAATATATAAAAACAAAATGTGAAGAAGTGATGGTGAATGTATGAACAATTTTAACAGAGGTATTACAAATGAATAGTAACAAAGAAAGGAAACAAATATTTCAAAAGTAACATAATTGGTTTGATCAGTAGATATTGAAATTCAACACTTCACACTCAAGTTTATTTCATTATCTTTTGGTTGTATTATCTCATTTAGGTCTACACAGGAAACTACGACTCAAATAGTGTTGTGGTGCATAACATCTTTAAGCCGATCGAATGCCTATTCTTTCGTATCCATCCAAAGACGGCCAATGATGACCTGCGGGCCCTCAGGCTAGAGCTCACTGGATATGGACCTCTCAATGACTTATTAGGTGAGTACATTGTGAAAAGGTTGGGCAATATTTTTCCAACACTTTGCCAAACGTTGTGCCAATAGTCATCCCAACCATCTATTGGGCAATATTATTGGTAAACGTAAGTACCCTACTTCACAAGTGCATAATTGTTTCCTATTTTGTCCAAAATATGGGCAAAGATATGACCCTTCAACTGCACGACCACGGTAGCCCACTTGTTGGGAAAATCTTGACCAGCAGTTGGGCAAAATACGAAACAATTATGCACCTACTTACGTTTACTAATACCACTGGGCAAAACATTGCCCAATAAATGGTTTGGTTGACTATTCGCACAACGTTGGGCAAAGTGTCGGAAAATATTGCCCAAACTTTTCACAGTGTAAGGCTACATCCTTAAAAAGACCCAGCAGCAAAAGAAGGATTGGAATAATAATAATGTCTTCTTAGTTTAGCCAATCCAAAAGGTATTTGATGAAGCGCACCTTTCCTTGCAGTTATAAAGCGCTGTATACATCGATCCGCACGTTTGGGCCACTTAAAGGCCCACTGCACTACTTGTAGCTACTTGTAGCTACTTGCGCCCTCTATATAACAAACAATGCTTAATCGGTGACCATTGGTCCCCCATGATCCTCTTTTTCTTATGTTAACTGAGAGCTGAGTTGATGAGCTAACCATCTGTCCAGTGACCTTGTAGGGCGGTCTAATCCCTCCTGTAAACTATGGCAGATAAGCTTTAAACAAGGACATAATTATATCACCTTTTTTTTTTAAAGCGCTCATCTCTGTCACGTCACGCTGTGACGCTCACGGCGCTAGACATAGTCCAGATTCAGTCCGTTCGTTCTTTATATCCCCCACACACAGCGCGGTCTCTCCACTGATCGCGCAATCCCCAAATTTCCGTCCACACGAACGTATTCAGGACCCAGATTTAGAGGAATGGCTAGGTCTACTTTCAACGTTGAGGGTGTGTTATTTTATCAGCTGATTGGGTGCGCTAAACGAAAACGGTACAGAGGCTGGACTACGCTAGACATTATTACACTGGTTATAGCTGAACCACCAGAGCAACTAGCGCTGAAAAAAATAGCAGGCACCCATTCACACCTGGGAATGTATAGATTGATGTTTTGCTAAAGGACACTTGTGTAGGGCAGGGAATCGACCTGCGGACCCTGTAATCTTCAGTCCGGTGGCTTACCCACCGGACCACAACACTTGGTATCTATGTAGGTGATGTAATCGAACGGTTTAAATGATCGGCAGGAGATGCGAAGACCGAGGATTCGATTAGCAATCAACCCACTGACGGCGCTAAAACCTAAGTCTAATCGTCGAATCGACCCCAAAACGACTCGAAATTTGGGTCAGTCGTATTGTTTCGTTCGTTCTGTTGTTGGTAAGAGGCGGTATTCTAAAAGTTCACTAGTGTTCGCTTCCAGTTTATACGAGGTGCGTTGCGGTTTTATTATGCTATTATGCACGCCAGCCTGTCGTATGTTCGCAGTAGTTGAACTAAAACGAGTTTTAAAAAAGTTTTGGTTTTCTGAAAACTCGTTTAGCAACTAACTTCTAAACAATAACCTAATATATCACTTTTATAAACTGAAAAAAGTTTGTTTGTACGTTTGTTGTCTTCAGCTGCAATGAACCGTGAAGAGGTAAGCTGTTCACGTCCTATCCAAGGGGAAGGAATGGGAGTGGAAGATGGACGAATCCCAGACTCTAGTCTCACCTCCTCGTCCGATTATGATCTTAATTACACTGCATCAGATGGAAGATTAAACGGTGGAGTTACTCCAAACGAAAAGGCAGCATGGCTTGCTAGGAATGATGACGTAGATAAATGGGTCAAGGTGAGTCCGATATTAAACACTAATTCCATTCACCTATTTCTTGTAAATGATCAAGGATGATTATTGAATGATCAGTTATTTCATGGGGATACTAATTAATTTGTATTTTACCTGTTTATATGCTTGTGTATTTATCTATTTTGTTTTTGATGCTGTTATTTGTTTTATTATTACCAAACAGGGCCTCATGGAAGACCACCAAATTTGTGATATGTGCCATCCTGTATAAATATCAGAAATAAATAAATAAATTATAATAACGACCCCCCCCCCCCCGGAAAGACACTTAAGCATAAATTCCGTTTTTCCTGAACGTCGTACACTTACTGAATTCAAGCACTAGCTAACTCCAATATTAACGCTCTTACGTAAAGCCCAAATGAAACCCGAACCCGAAACCAAAGGTAGCATTAATCATTGATGATTTATATTACCTCGCCTACTGCTTTGAAAGCAACTATTTACTTGTAACTATACGTGATTTTTACCGACACATTTCTTGGTAATTATCTATCTACTTCTAAACTTTTTTCGCATTGCCTTGGACAGTTGGAAACCCTCTATTAAAGATATTATGTCCCTTTTGCAGCCAACATCAAATTGCATAGAATTTTGCAGGAATTATATGAATACGTTTCAATATGTACGTCCTATCTGTGAAATATAAACGTTAGCAGTGTCCCAGTATTCAATTCATTCAAGGAAACCCGTTTACTTTCTAGACGTCCTTGTCAGACACTATTATTGAGTGACTAACTGTCATGTTTTTTTATTTGGTAATAACATACATAAAATGAGCTGTAACAGGTACATGAGCATTTGTCTACATCAATAACCCACTACTTGTATTGGCCAAAATTAAACTGATTGAATTTTTGTGCAGCAACAAAATGGACAACCATTCGGTAAAGGGTCTGAAAATCAGACTATTAGTTCGGTGAATGCAATCACTCATGTCGATTCGACAACTAATGATCGTTATTTTCCCACAAAAAGCCATTTTCAAACTCTTTCGTCAGTTTTGAGGGAAGTTCTAAATAAGTATTGTCTTTCGAATGCCGTTGGAATTTACCAATTTCATTTTTTTGACCTGCAAATGGGACACACTACCTTCAAAGGATTTTCATTCTTAATTTTTTGTCTTGATCACTTGATGAAGATGTATATGGAATTTCGAAATTTCGAAATTTGCGATCTCATAAAAACCATTGGATTTAGAGCTTGAAACCTCTCTTCTTCAAATTTGTTTTCGTCGTCATCTCATACACACAACACACACACACACCCCCACACACACATACACACCCCCACACACATGTATATGTATATATATTATAAATATATATCACAACTTGGCACTTATTCAAGCTCAAAGCTAGGATCCGACTGAGGTACGTGGCTTGTCATTTTTAACTCATCTGCCTCCCACCCCCGACAAAGGATCAATAAAGATTTAACATTTGTCAAGCTGTCAGTCAATCTAACTTTCTTTCGCCGAAACTACTGGCCCGTATCCTTGGTCTAGTTGTTTAACAGCACTGGCGCCCCCTCCCCCCACTCAGAGGTCGGAATGACCGCATGCGTGTTGCCAAAATGTCCGGTAAAGGGGTACTTTTCGTGCGACAAAGTCCGGCCCGAGAATTGTAAAAAAAGAGGTGTATTTGACTTTTCACCCGGAGATTTCTTTAAAAAGGGGGTGTTTTTCTTTTTTTTCTCTCATCTCTTTGGACTCCTGAGAATTTATTCCGAATTTAGGGGGGGGGGGTACATTCAGCATTTTTCCTGATTTAGGGGGGTCTCTAAGGCAGGAAAAGCCCGCGAAAAGCCCGCGAAAGGGGGGTTCGGAAATGTTGGCAGTCCTCAGATAGGGGGTGCTTTCAAAAAGAGGGTACGAGCATATGCGTACTCTAAATAACACTGAGTGGGGGGGGGGGCACTGGCGTCCTATGCCAATCAAAAAAAAAAGGAAGGACAGCAATGGGAAACTTTGATTTAGCTACGCGCCTTCATTCTCTAAATTGTATTACTTACAAATGTGTATTTATTTCCAGGAGGGTAGCCAAATTTTGGGTTGTCAAAGTTATTTCATAACTGTATTTATTTATTTATCAGTTTATACTTGTTGCTAAGTCTTACTTCTATTAACGCACTAACGAGTCAGATAGATCTTGGAAGGACCTCTAACGTCACTGGTGTTATCGTACAAGGCAGATTCGAGTTGGCACAATGGATTACTTCTGTCAAGGTATCCTATTCGCTGGATAACGTGACATGGACTTATGCTTTGGAACCACAATGTGGTGAACAAAGAGTAAGTACTACATGTCTTGCATCGTCGACCTGTTGTTGATGTACATTAAAGGTAAAGTAAAGATCAGTTTTGGAAACGCCCCCCCTCTCAAAATATGAAATGAAAGCTCTTATTACCAATCATGTGAAAGAAAATGTTTTAACTAATACGTGATGATACAAATTTTGCCGAGAAACCGCCTACTAATTGATATATTTGGTAAATTATTATATCTTTTTGGACCTGATAGATATCGCGCACGTGTCGCCTAGTCCCATATACATCTTTCTGTGTACAGTGCTTGTAACCAAGACTGGGCCAAATTTCTTATCATTTTGATGATTCCAGAACCTTCCAGTACACCAATACTTATGTGCTAGATGATCAACCTTTTCTGATCGATTCCACAACGTTTCTTTTACAATGCAATCGCATGACCATAACTGGTCTTTATCTTTTAAGGCATCGTTTAACAATGTTTCCAGTTTTTCAAATCTGAGATGCGTGACCCTACGTATTACCAGTGTCTGTGATATGGTGTAATATTGAAGCCTTAAAAAAATAGCTATTCAAAATGATCATAGTGCTTCAAAAAAGTAAACATCTTTAAGTGATCGGTTTTACCATACTCATTTCCCCAATAGTTTTGTTCAAAGCTGTTTGGCAAACAGTTGTTGACATTTCTATTTCTAATCATAAATACCATGATAATCAGACAGGCGATCGGCTTGTAAAAGTCATGGGATTCCTGACTATAACTATGATTGCAGCATGAGCTAAATCCAGGATTGTTTTTGAAATATTAGGCAAAGATACCCAAACCCTGTAGACAAAGAATTATGCCGTGGTTATGTCTATTCCGAAGCGTTGGTCATTAAAATAAAGTTGTATTATATGACGAATCATTAAAGGGTAATTAACCCACAGCAATTTGTTTAAAGCACATATAAAGAGCATGCTGACTTTAATAGCAAGCTGTCTCCCACGCCTCGCATTGAACTTTAAAGAGTCTATATGTATCGTGCATTATACGCCATTTTTGGCATATTTACCTGTGCTCGGTTTTCCAAAGTTATGTCTGACTGTATAAATGATATTATATTTTAGGACATCTCAGTAGAATAGCATCCACGAGACCAAACGTTCCTAAACAGCCATATTACATAATGCATCATAAACTGATGACGCGCAGGTGATGATGCTTGCGTATAGGAACGCCTTCACCGAATGATGGCGCAATTGAAAATACACTACAACAGTGATAGGAAAGTCCATAAATTACCCAGCTTTTAATAAAAACAAGTGCAATATTGAAAAATATGTTGAAGAAGATAAGTTTATAAATATCTGGATAAGAAAAGGAAAGAAAAGTGAAAACATATATTTGAACAGACATAAGGAGAAGGTGAAAGATTGATATAAAAAATACAAATACAAAAGGAAAGTTCGAGAAGAACATTAGAGAAAGAGAATGAAGAAAGATACAAGGAAAGGAAGTGGAGATAAATTAAATAAAAAAAGAAAAACAAATAGCATTTCATGTTTTTTACTTTGTGAGGAGGCCTACACATTTGCAATTCAGCTTATCCCGCGAAACATATTGTGATATAAACCATTTTTAATTGAACCAAAATATCCATGCAATGCCCTTAACATAATCATTTCTTCATCATGATCTTCAGATCTACGCAGCAAACTACGATAACACCACTCCCGAGACCATACTGTTCCCTCGACCAATCACTGCTCGATACGTCAGAATACACCCACTCACTTGGATTGGGCACCAGGCCATGAGATATGAGGTTGTTGGCATAGCTGATCAAACGGAACTTTGAAAACAAGAAGACTTCTACTAGATGTTATTGTTGTTAAATTTTAATATTCTGTTATTATTGTTATTGTTGTTATCATTTTCATTATTATTTCATTTGTTATTGTTATTATTATTGTTATTATAACTATTATTGTTATTATCACTATTACTTTCACTATTATTATCAACATATTAAAGTTATTGTTATTGTTATAATGACTAGTACTATTATTATCATCATCATTATTATTTTCATTCTTTGTTATTGCTATTATCTTTTGTAAAAGGAGCAGCATTCGCATCATGGTAAGATCTGATTTTACCCACAAGTAGGGGATAAACACACTGTGTAGGTGTTGTGGTTGAGTGGATAGGTTCGTGAACTATGAAGCACAAGGTACGGGGTTCGAATCCCTGTCACAGTAAAAGTATCGTTTGGCAAGACATTAAGGTAGAATATTTGCCATTCTCGACTGAGGTGAAGGTCACGCTTAAGCCGGAGGGTAATGGAAGTGTACATATTGTCATGAACATTTATTTATTCAGCAATCGTGAATATCGTGAATATTTAACAGTGTAAAGATTATATTTAACAAAATGACTATAAAACAGTTGTAAATAATGTAGTAAATGGTTGTTACCTTGGATAAGTGATTATCTAAAATGGCATCTATTAGTTTCTAAATAAATAATTTACAAAACATAAGAGTATGTGGCCAATAGGGGCCTGTAACTTCAAAATTGACATGCAATCAATTGTAAAATTACGTTGTATCTAGCCCTTCTTGCGGCATTAATTATATTTTATCAAGATTATATCTATTAGTGACAGAAAATAATAATTTGATACCTTTCATGATATAAGCTACCATTGTTTGAAAGAGATAAGCTAAACTTTCGGGTATAATTGTAATTTGTTATATTGCAGGGTGAAATTACTATTAAGAGATAGTTGCATCCAAATTCTCGTGAGAGAAAAAAATGTTGGCGTCGTCATCAAATAGTATAAATGATATAAGGGATGAAGCTTTCGTTATATTATATTAATATATATATTTCATTAATAATTCCCCATGTTAATTTAATGTTAGATTTGACTTATTTATTCGTTCTCAATAATGCATTTTACGGGAAGTTCAAATTACCTCGGGTAAAATTATTCCGGTATCTGTTTTGTATCCATTAATGTTGAGTGGTAGTGTCACATAAACATATCTTATAATTCTATTTCTCGTGTGTAAAGATCTTAAAATTGCCTTAGTTTTTTAAGGTATTTTACTCCGATAAACTGCAATACATTTACTTTTTATCCATTTTTTTTCTTCTTCAAATAAATATTGTAGCTTCTTATCAAAATTGTCTTTTGCAGTGTTTATGTTAGTCTGAGTAAATAATTCTGATCATTCTCCATGGATTAAATTATTTGTAAAATACATGTTTATTGATACCCCTACAGGTCCGTTAAAATATTTTTTCTAGTTATCACCATTGCTTAGAAAAAATATACAAATGATGCTCTTTTCCAACATTTTGTTATAATGAAATAATTTCAAGTGTCAAGCAAAATCACTTGCACATCAACTCAAGGTGTGTCAATTACTTAAACTTGTTTTTGTGTATATCAAGAATATTTAAAATTAAATTTAACAAATTACGTTATGTTAACTAAAGTACGACTTGGGTTCTGTGCGTGCCCTTTTCTATATCCGGACGAATACGCGTCCGTTAACTTGGCTATTTAACAAGTCGTTAAATAACTGTTTTCTAATAGTATATTTAAACTGCAAAGTATCCTGTAAAAATGATATTTAAAGCTCATATTTTAATATAGTATATCAACATGGAACCCCGTTTATTAAGAGCAAAACACGTTTTGGTAAATGGCACAATTTAATACGAACGGTAAAGTGATCTTACTATCATAAATACAGTGTACTTTTTAGATGTTGTAGGATTTCGTCTGAGCAGTGTTTTTACGTTTTAGTTGCAAGTGTAAAAGTGAATTTTCGGTATTTACAAATGTACGATTGTGTGAATGTAATAATGTACATTAATTTATTGAATATTGAAATAAAATCATATCCAAACAAATTTGTTTAGCAAAATTGTATTTTTCTTCTTTGTTAAACCTTCCTCTATGCTAAATTCAATTATGTTACATAATATTCCATGTTCAATGTGCGATTTATCATATGAATTGAATAGTCTTTATTTGTAGTATATGACTTTTTTATGAATTTTTTATTTTAATTCATGGTCGTTTATTTAAAAAAAATGATTCAAGTATCACAAGCCTAAAGTCAGCCATTCATAATAATCCATAATCACTTATCTCTATATTCATTTTTCTATTATAATAATGTTTGTATTAAACGAGATTTAAAAATATCCTTATTGACACTGCTTCATGGCAAGAAGATCCCTCATATAATTGAGGGGCGGTATTGAGGAGTGCTTTGGACATCAGCATTAATTAGGCCCTTTTACTCGATTCCCATTGACACAAAAAGCCTTCGTCAATGGAGTTATTGCCAAGAGCATGATTATCTTTAAAAATTTAGCATACCATATGTCACATCTTTCCTTTGTTCTAATATACCCTTAAAGATGATCGAAAGCTTATAAAAGAAGTTGTATACATAGCTGGGAAGTTTCACATTATTTAGCCTATACTTATACTAACATTTTATTTATCTGATATTATAGGCAGTTTTATGTGAATAAAAATAAATGAATAGTAACAAAAAAAGAAATGATCCAATTATCCGGAATTACCAAAACAGACACTCGTAGTTTTCGGCATTGCATTGGAAATTTGACATTTTGCTCAGTTGGGGGGGGGGGGAAGGTCACCTTTTTTAGGTCGGTCGTGGGCATAATTTTTTTTTTTTTTTTTTTATACAAAAAAAAAAAAAAAAAAAAAAAAATCAAAAGGGGGGGGGGGGGGGGGTTAGGTTTTTTTTTAGGGGGGTTTACATACATAAAATTACCAAAGGGGGGGGGGGGTAAACCCCCAAACCCTCCCCCCTGCGTACGCGCCTGGTGAGAGGATAGTAACTTCCGTCACCTTCACCCCTCTCATTCACTGGTGAGAGGACACTTTTTTTTTTTTTTTTTGGTCTCGAAATTTGGAAATTTGACATTTTCTCAGTTGGGGGGGGGGGGGGGGGGGGGTAAGGTCACCTTTTTAGGTCGGTCGTGGGCATAATTTTTTTTTTTTTTTTTGGTCTCGAAATTTGGAAATTTGACATTTTGCTCGGGGGGGGGTGCCCTCGCCGTTTCCACCGTCCGCAGACATTTTCGCGCACGTACGTGGCACACGGTAGGCCTACACGGCAGAGTGTGAGAGTCACTTGACTAGGGGGGGGGGGGGGGGGGGGGGGGGGTAAGAGGACACTTTTTTTTTTTTTTGGTCTCGAAATTTGGAAATTTGACATTTTGCTCAGTTGGGGGGGGGGGGGGGGGTAAGGTCACCTTTTTTAGGTCGGTCGTGGGCATAATTTTTTTTTTTTTTTTTTAGGTTTTTTTTTAGGGGGGTTTACATACATAAAATTACCAAAGGGGGGGGTTAACCCCCCAAACCCTCCCCCCTGCGTACGCGCCTGGTGAGAGGATAGTAACTTCCGTCACCTTCACCCCTCTCATTCACTATGCTCCCTCGCACTTGCGTATTGATGATGATGGGGGGGGGGGGGGCTTGGGGGAAGTTCTCCCTCAAAAAATTAAATTCAAACGTGGTTTATTTCTAATTCGATACCAGTGATTTACAAATGTTGCTGAAATGGCATTTTTCCCTGAGCTTCCGGGGGCTCGGCCTCCTGGACCCCACCAAATGCCCTGAGGCGGTCCTTGGATGCTCATCTGATCGTAATTACATGCCTAAACCCCTGAGCTTCTGGAGGCTCCGCCCCCTGTACCCCACTCCAATTAGTGACCTGCATGTCAGTGCAAGTCACAAATAAGGTATCAAAATATGCTACTCTGACCGTAATTAAATTCCTAAAACCCCTGAACTCCCGGGGGATCTGCCCCATGGATGCACATCTCACCTCAATTAGATGCCTAAAACCCCTGAGTTTCATGGGGCTCCGCCCCTTGACCCCTGCCAGGGCTTTGCCCCTGGACCCCACGCCAATTTACGCTCCATTACTTCGCTCGCTTTGCTCTACCTGATCGTAAATACTTAGCCCCCCTCCCCACTTTGAAAAAAAACGTTGCCAGGGCCTGCGTAACATGTGAGAGTGGTGGTAATGCGGTTTTTTCTACCCCCCCCCCAACGTTTTTGCTCATTACGCCACTGCACCCTCGTCCCTCACATTTCGTCCCCCCCCCCGGTCATGAAAAGAAATCGCCGCCCCTGCCCAGTACTGCATGTATTACCTATATGAAGCATGTTCCGATTACGTAATATTTCTTTGTAATGTTCGCACATTCAAAAGGTAACGGACGAGAGTATTGAAATTTGCTTGAGGTTGATGTCTAGAGTATTTGCGAACGTGTTTAATTAATTTTGTAATATAATTGATCTGCTGATGTACGGTATTAAGAATTACGTCTACGATGAATATCAAAATATTTCGATGGCCTCAATTCCGACGTGACAAACAAACGAACAAAAACAAACAAACAAAAACAAACAAACAAAAAGCAAGCAAATTAGGCAAACAAACATTAAAAAACGCACACTTATCTTCCTGTATGTCCACATGGTGAACGGAGCTTTATGCCGCAGTGTTGATGAAGGATGCCTGACGCACTCATGACGATAAATGACTGTCCAAGATATTGATTAATTGCCATTATTCAAGGCTTATAGCTGCTCTATCATAATTAAACAAAATAAAATACATGTTTGCAAGTGCGTTGGTGAATATGCACTGCACGCAGGTGTCCGTCTCATTTTTGTCTTTTCTTGTTCTTTGTAAATAGTAATTTGAATAGGAATATTATTTGTCATTTATTTTATATTCGAAAGGTGTTGTAACGATTCAAGCTCTATTTGCTTATGTTTCATCACCTTTGT